CGTGTCCCCCCCCCCCAGCTGCTCTAATGTCAGTGCAATAATCTGTATTGCCTGCCCTCCATATGGCTCGACCAGCATCATCGTGAGCCAATGGACGTTAAGGCTCAGGGAACAAATTGGAAAGGCGCTTTGACCAAGTGAGCAGACCTGAGCATGCACACGCCCGTGCATGTGGCTGTGTGGTTTTATAGACGGCAGTCAGTGTATTTTTGCTGCCCGGGGGGCGTGTGTGCACACCCACCCCAGTCAGCTCCCCTGTGTGCTCTGTGTATTAAAGATTTCGGGCTAACGCTGTAACATACGAAAGCATTGCAGCACCTATCGCCTAGTCCCCCTCTCACAGAAGTGTCAGGTATCAAAGGGGTAGCCCTGTTAGTCTGGATCTTTAAAAGCAGCGAAGAGTCCTGTGGCACCTTATAGACTAACAGATGTAGAGGAGCATGAGCTTTCGAAGAAGTGGGTATTCACCCACGAAAGCTCATGCTCCTCTACGTCTGTTAGTCTATAAGGTGCCACAGGACACTCTGCTGCTGTCACAGAGGGGAATTCCTAGCCAGGAGTCAGGTGCCCAGGCTCTCTGTGCATTGTATGGGGCATGTGCAGGGCCTATTAAAGGGCATCTCCCAAGGCAGCAAGCTGAGCTTGGCAACACCTCACCTAGTCAGGAGTGAATGGGGCAGGGCTTAGGCCCTGAGGCTCAAAGTTATTTAGGTGACTCACGGACAGGTCAGCTAGAGGCTTGGTGTGCTCAGCCATGAACCCTTGCCTGGTAGTAGGGTGCTAAGCCAGCGCAACCCTTTCTTATGACAAATGAGAATCTCAATGGCCAGGAGCCCCACAGTCAAAGCTCTGCCCTGCCTGATTTGGGCCAGAAACTTTTTCATAGATGCCAACACCAGAGAGGACCGCTGGGCTCCTGCATGATACCTGTAACACTTCTCCAAACTAATTCCTAGAGCATAATCTTTTAGCAAAAGACCACAGCCTTTTGTAAATTGCTCCAGCGGTTAACCCCTCTCACTGTTAAAAAGGTATGCCTTATTGCCATGCTGAATTTGTCTCACTTCAATTTCTCACTGTTATACTCCCACCACCAGTGAATGAGCCATATTATTTAGATTATTTGATTTAGAGGCCAAGCTGTCTGCTCACTTTAGTAACAAATAGGAGACAAGATTCCCTCCTCTGCAAAGATTACAGGATCAAGACATCACCACCACCCCATTCCCTAGCCTCTGCATTTATTTTATTGAAACGTGACCCATGTTCCAAGATCTTGGCACTGGCCCTATGTGACCTCTCTCACCATGACTTACATGGGGCCATAAACGAGAAACTACAATATGCCTCTGGAGTTAGAACTCAGCACAGTCCCATTTTACAAACACTGGGTCTGGACTCAGATTACTTGAGCACTGAACTTCAGCCAGACTATTTGCTCCAGCTTCTAGCTAGTGTTTTTCCTGGAGCCTGGGAGCAGAGGAATGGGGCTTCCTTTCTTCCACAATTATGTTAGTGGAGCCAAATCTGTACTTCCTGAACTCTGGCACTGTTATACTGTCTTGATGAGTATTCTACATGAGTATGTATTTCCTGTGGAAAGCGCACCCTTCCCGTCACTCCCCATTCACTTTCAGTTCTGTAGGTTCCAGTAACTGTTTAAATAACTAGTTTCAAGTTTCCAGCACTCAGTAGCTATTAACCTGTTCATTAAACTAACCTCTGATCTATATACTCGTGCCTATGCAGTGAGAGTTCAGTTGTGTTCGTGCTATGTCCAGATGAAGACGAACTGGTTTCACACCCTTCCTAGGAGTTGCATTGCTTCTTGAGAGTGGACGATGCCGATATGCAGAATAAAAAGAGGCCAGTGCAGCTTGAGGTGACAAGAACAAAATATTGGGACACATGGGGGGGGGAGGGGAGGAGCGGCGCAGCCAAAGCAAAAAAAAAAAAAGCCAGAGTGCAAAATATTGGGACAAATAGCATCCCGACGATACATTGGTCGGGATGCAGGACAAACAACTAATTATCAGGACGTCTGGTCACCTTAGTGCAGCTACTTAAGGAGACCCAGATGGAACACAGTGGTTATAAAGACTACATACTAAAAATACAGCAACATTTTAAGCTTGAAGACTTTCTCAGGAATTATCTATAAAGGGAAAAGGGTCAGAGTCCATTTTAATTATATGCTAATTAACACTGAAGTATAGACTGTGCCCCAATTTATGGTGAACTTTATTTACTGTTCCATTTTATTTTACTAGTGGTGTAAGACATTTGGGAGATATTTAAGATTTCCACCCAGATAGAAATACAAAGAATGTTTTTCATGACTGGACTACCTGTAACTCCAGTGTTAAAGATGAATCAAATTCAGTTCTCGGTAAAATGTTTCTCAACTTCATTGAAGTCAGAATTTACCTCGCTAGAGAGAAAACTGCCAATTTCTCCCACCCCATACTTTCCCTCAGTTGCCACACTTGCAAATGAAAGCCACTGACAGCACCTTTTGTCTGAGGATCACAAAATGCTTTACAAACAATGATTTTAATCTCACCATAGAAAGTAAAGGACATCCCTTTTTACAGATGAAGGAAATGAGGCGTAGAAAGTTTAAGTGACTTACAGAAAGTCACACTTCAAGTTGGTGGCATAGCTAGGAGCACCCAGACCCCCACTATCCCAGTCATATATGTTAGCTACAATCTCTCTTCATATAGATTCTTTAGATTACATTCCCCATGTTAACTAAATCTTAAGATATGTTTATTTTGCCTCTAATTTGAGACATTGCTTTTTGTTCTGCTCCTAGTTTCCATTCTCATGATATACAAAGCAAAATGTCTACCTGCCATGGCAATAGACAGTCATAGTAAAATACATTGTCTAAGGTTTTATCTTAACATAAGAGGGTTCTCTCCCCTCCCCCCCAGAACAGAAAAAGATGGCTAAGGAAGGCAAGCCCTGGTATGCTGAGATTTTATCAGTCTTGAAAAGTCAACAGAATTGCAGCCACAAAGCATTATCTATTTAGTTCCAAATTCTTAATGGGCAGGTAATTTAAGGGAGGGAAGCTTGTGGTCTTTCATACATAGATATCAATTTTACATTTGCAAGTGCTGTCACTGTGATTGCACATGCAAATGGCTATTTAGGCTGCTTTCTGTGTCTCCATCACTTCATTTGCAGGGAGAGTACAGTAAATGCAGAACAAGTGGGTAAATGTCTTAGCACATGGACACTGGGTCTAACCTTTTAAGAGCATGCCTTTTTTTTTAAAAAACAATTTTATGAATAATTTTTCCTCGTTATTAGTGTGTTCAATATATTCTCCTCTGTATCTGTACAAAGAGCTACACTCCTCAGCTCTTTATACTCACTCCCATTCCAGGTATTTTACGTATGTCCTCAATACCGTTAGAAGTACAATTTCAGCTTTTCATTTTTTTTTCTGCTCCACTTTATTGCACTCTCTCAACGGGCCACACTCTGTCCTAAATGACAGACATTTGCACCCTCACCAAATCACTGGTCATACATGAAGTCAAGTGTCAGAAAACAATTTGGCTGAGGATGCACCATATGTAGATCAGAACAAGTTAGATTTTACACGGACTATTATAATTCCTCCATGGGAAAAAGCCCAACATGCTGGAAAACAAGCATATCTGTCTGTAATATATTACTCATAATTAGGGCTGTAGCTTTCCAGTAGAGGCTTGATTTTGTCATCTTTACTCCCACTTCGATTGTTTAGTCACAAACAAGGCTGCCTGGAACTCTATCCTCAAACTTCCAACAAGTTCTCTGCTAACTATCAGACAATGGTATATTCTTTCCTGACCATGCCTAGTTTATGATGCGACTTGCCCCCCCAGTGTCACATCTAGTCAATAGCAAACCCATGAGTACAACACAGGTTTTCTGACTCCCAGCCCATGACTCTTTCCACTAAGCTACACTGCCTCACAGACCAGTTGCCATTGTTGCATAGTACCAGAGTGGCAAAAAGCATGATATAAGCAACTAGAAAGAGTTCAGTGCCCACCAGTATAGCCAGTTCTCCAATATATACTCACATGTCTTTTTAACATTGGATTGAGCAAAAGCATCTCCACCTCCGCCCTCGGCTGACTCTTCCACAGCCACTTAAATCTCTCTGGAAAGTTTTTTTTTATTTTAGCCTATTGGTACAGTGGCCAAGATGCAATAATTGCATAACTGTATAAAGCCAAAAAAAGGCAAACTGCTTTGTCTTCAATGTCAATACATAAAGTTAGTCTTAGGACAACACTGACAAATGCAAACACACAGTAATGGCAGGTTTGGGATTTTTTTTTTAACTTTATAAAATATAGTTGATAGAAAAGCAACGTTCAGGTACAATACAGTAAAGAGGAGACAGACATTCAAGGTTACAATAAAAATTGTTGACAGCACAATTCACAACACTTACATAACAATAAACATACAGCAGCTTGCAAAAGGATTAATACTGGAATGCGATTTCAACATGTTTCTATATAGAGGAGGCTTAAGCAGCACTTGCGAGTTTAAATCTGGTTATATGTGAATTGTTTAGAGCTGGCATACAAAATCAATATTAGTTTTGCAAGCCCTAATTACTCTGAATATACAAACAGTATTAAACTCCATTTGGTATTTACATTCACTGTCAAATGTTACAGATGTCTTGAAACTGCATTGGACATTTTCATTAACAAGAAAGCGTCTGTGGCCTATGCCTGTATAGTCACAGTATTTAATATTTAGAAGTCTTGCCTCTGGAACCCAATAAGAAAATGTTAGTCAGTTTATTACTTAGTAACTCATTGCCATATCAATATTTTAGGCTAAATTTTTGCTGCACTGAGTACAGAGATGCACAATTATTGTGCACGCGCTTTCACACCTAGATTTGAAATGCACTCCCTTCCTATCTACCTGACAGAGGACAGACAGCATGCTTAAAAGGAATAACCTTTAAAAAATCATTTGATTTTAAACAATGAAGAGCACTAAAGCTGAAAAAAAATACTTTGCATGCTCAGGTTCACAGTTTCCACTTTTATTGCATTTTTCCACACATTCAGAAAAATATTTTATAATTAGGAAAATGTGACTACAAAGATTTAAGGGGTAGGTGTAGCACCTGTTACTATTTAACTTAAAACAAAAATGAAAAACAAACCCAAGTTGCACTTTGACAGTGCAATAGTTAAGCAATAAGTTTTGATACGGAAAAGATAAAAAAAGAGGTGTGATCTGAAACAAAATAGCAAAGGCTGCTCATTTACTGCTTTAAAAGCCAGTACGTTTGTAACTGTCAACAAAGAAATGTAACCGTTACAGGTAGTGCACTGCCTGGAAGACATCCGAGTCCATAAAACAAGATGGAAGTCAAATTGTTCTGATCATTATCGTTATCACAGCTCTAGTGTTATCTACTTATATTCAATCCATTGCAGAAGAAATGTGTTTCTAAAGTACTGATGCTTTTATTGCATTCCTTATGTACAAAGATCTCTTTAAAGCAAATGTGAAATTGCTAAGAGCTCCAGGCTGTGTTAGTAACAGCCGAAGCTAAAGTCAACAGGAGATGAGGCTCAGCACCCTTTGAGATTGGGCCCTCACATAGTATCAGCTTCTCAAGAACAAACATGTTTAAACTACTTTTAGATTAGATTCAATACAATGAAAATGGAGAATCCTTACTTTCCCTTAAAGAATGCTTTAGCCTGCAAAAGCAATGAGGGAGCAAATATTGAGAATAAGTTTGTAGAACAATAGCTTCACCTTTTCTACTTATTTTATTGTTTTGAGCACACAGCCAAGATTTACTCTGGCTTCAAAAACTCTTCCCGTCCCTCCCCCACACCCCACAAAGTGCAGTTTTCTGATTCATGAACCAAGTTTCTGAGAAAATGTAAGTTTCTGCTTGGCCCTTAATTGAAATGGGATGATGCCTAAAATAGGGACTTCAGCAATGCATTTTGTTATATTTAAAATGAATTGCAAGTTTATTATAGCCAATGAAAACTGAAATAGCAGCATTTTTAGTGTCAAATTTACTTTTGGTGCAGTAGTAAAGTTAGACATAAATGGTTAAGACAAGGTTGTCAAAATGTTTGTCCGTTAGGATGGAGCACATTTTAGCAAAGAGATTGGGAGGAACGGAGTTCACAGGGCAGACAGTCCCAATGCAGCAACAGCAAGCAACTGATTATACGGAAAGATAATATCATCAGGAAATTTACTTTAGCCTTTTTTAATGCAATTAAATAACTAGAAACAAGGAAGAGCACCACATGTTCAGTCAGGTCTCCATGGACCATAAACAGTTTGGGAACCTATTTTTGGTTAAGTCAATAGGGTTCAGGCACTGCAATGATGTGAATGGTATAAGAACACAGACAATGATTTGGGCTCTGTACCCACAAGAGAGCTGCATGACAGCTATTACTGAAGTCAACAAGAGGGCTTGCATCATCAGGCACATGATATTCACACACCAAAAGGCTGATTTAGGTTTCAACCCTCAACTGTGCTGCTAATGCAGGACTCTATACCCAGCCATAGGTATAGACTCACTTCCACGCAAACTGCAGTGGGGTCCACTGGTGCTGAATAACTCATATAACCACCCCTGTGCCAGCCCTCTCCCAAATGCCAAAATACGAAATCCCCTGCCACACACTCCAATGTCTCAGCCACCCCTGACAATCAACCTTAGTGTGATCCTCAGGCTGCTGTAACTTATGCCAGGCACCTAGAATGGTGCACAGCCAGCCCAAGACTGAGGAACAAAAGGAGGCTTAAAGCCACTTCTACTCTGCTGCCTCCACTGTCAAGGATTGGGGCTTTGTCTGGGTTGACTATTTAGACAAAGGACCACCAACAGATCCCAGCTGGACAGAATATTACCAAGCCACGGTTCATTTATAGTATGGTATTAAAAAAAAACATTTATAGTTGTAGGAATAGAGAGACAAGCAACTAGCTAATTTGCATTGCGCAGACATTCAAAGTGGGCTGGTGCACAAAAGATGCCTATTCTTAACTCTCCATCTTCCCTGCTGTTGAACAAACAACATACAAGATTTCTACTTTCCCATCTGAGGCATGCCAGTCTTGGCAATTCATCAAAATGGGCACACAGCAATGTCAGTGTTAAATGTAGTTTTATTTTAATAATGCCTTTATTTTTTCTTAAAGTGCACCATAGTAAAAAAAAAAAAAAAAGTCTGCCTTTGTATGTATAGTAATAGTCAGAAGACTAGGTAGAGACTGTTAATACACATCCACATTTAAAAAACTGCTTGCAAGATACAGTGTCCAATATAAAATTAAGTGTAAGGGTACTTTCCAGACTTAAAAGTACAAAATTAAAGTTAACTATTTCAGGTCAAAAGCTGAACACTGCACAGTGTACAATTTTGGCACAGACAAAAATTTCATGACCAGGCTGTAATTGCTCATTGCTTTTACCTGTTGTGAATTTTATAATGAGTTCATCTACATAAATGTGGATTTACAACCTTTTCCTTTTATTTTTATCTTCTGCATCAGTCTAAATACTGAAATTTAAATAGGAATGAGAAATACAGAGCTTTGGTTCCGGGGGGGGGGGGGAGGGGGAAGATGGGATTGTCTTTCATACAACAAGACTGCTCCTATTTATCTGTAGTAATGCTGAAGATAAGATACCACCAGTACTAGATCAGAACGATCACTGCTGGGTGCTCCTCTTAAAAATAGGATTCTCTTTTCTTCTGACATTACATTTAATTGTGGCGGGAGGTGAGCTGGGATTTAAAACAACGAGTCTGAAATGGCTTCCATTTACGTAAATCAGAGCATGATTGCAATGTTAAGAGTAAATGGTCATCCACTCTCATCCTTTAAAAATAAAGAGCCTGTATCACTGGCTTGAGGAAAGAGCTCCTAAAACTGTATCTGAAGACATCAGGTCTCTAAACACTAGTGTTTGTGAAAGTCAGAAACCAGCAACCTAATTGGTTAAGTCTCAGTAGAAGTGAATGGGACAAGAGCACAAAGGCTGCAGCGTTAAGAATGTGGATGCTGAGGTTCTTAATACACATATTTTCAGGGTTCGTTTGATTCGTCTTTTTGGCCTACGTGTACTTTACCTAGGGAAACCTTCAAAACAGAATATACAGCTTCCACTGCAAGCTTCACAGGACCTTTTGGAAATGGGCACTTCTTCCACACATACCAGATGAAGAAATTAGTTCCTAAATTCTAATTTATGTGCTACAAAGATGTGTTCTAGTAAAGGGGTACAGTTTGGCCTTTGGAGTACTATGATTCATACTGCAGATTTACATCATCTGGGGAGTTCTGAAGGCTTATTGGATACTGTTGGGTCCTTGTCCCCAGAAAAAAAAATTCAAGATGGGCAGACCAACCAACTGAAATGTTATGGAGGAGTTTCTGAAAAGCAACAAAATCAGAGCGTGCTGCAACAGCAATACAGCAACGCTTAAATTTCTGGGTACCAAAAATATGATACATTATTACTGAGAGAAACATGTCAGTAGGATAAGGAATTTTGCATAAGTGAATAAAACAAAGCTTTTCCAGATATCCTAGTACAGATGTCTTAAAGTTTCCACAGTGTAGAATGCATCTTAAAGAGAGTCTCATGGACCATGTCACCACTCTCATTAACATTACTGTGTAACTTCCCTGTGGCAATGATAGCAACTACTAACATGGAGAGTTAGGTAAATTTTAACTTGCCCTTCAACGTGAATTAACAGGTGGAGATGAGCAAAGTTAGAACTATGTGACCAGCCAGCTCTCCACATCCCACCAGCAAGTATTCTGCAGACCAGTGGTATATGGGCCACAGTTGGGAACCACTGCATTTGGGGACCTACAGGAAGATGAATCTTTATGTACAGCGATCTTGTGAAAAAAAAATAATTATTTTGTTAAATATAAAATGAGGTTTTATTTTTCCTAACACAGCCTGTAGTGTTTCTGAATTACCTGAGAATCAAAGACTTAGAGATGCTCATGACTTATTAATACCAGACTGGAAAACTAAATGGACTAGGTTCAGATACAGCTACAAGAAGATAACTTTGTAAAGCTGATCGGATGGCATCTGTGAAAACTTAAAAAAACCTTCATCTGAGTAACAAGATCTATAAGAAAGGATATCAAAGATTGTTGTCTTCAGGAACTGTATCCTCTCTAGGATGTGAGAATTGGAAAGGAGAAGACTGGAAAAGGAGGTAGGTGTCCAGAATTGTAGCAGCAGGATATAGATATTTTGCTTACAGGCTCATAATGAAAAATGGAAGGATGTTTTACCTGTCAACTTCCAAGTTCAGGGTTCTAGATTTTTCCCTGAAGTATCAGCAATATCAGTGCCTTACTACAGCAAGGAATGGTTTTCCTTATGCCACTTTTGGTTTCGGTGAGCTCATTACACTGTAGCAAGGAAATCATAGAATCCCAGAATTGGCAGCAGACCAAAAAGGAAGAAGTATTTTTCTTCTAAAACATTTGTAAAAGCTAAACCTACACATGCTAATTCACTTTAGAATATTACATTTTATTAATTCTTGCCTTTCCCCACCCAAACCTTGTATGATAAACAGGCGAATTCTAAAACAAAGATATATGGTATGGTTAGTCAGGGATTTGAGATAAACAGATATTCATTTTTAAATAAACACTTCAATTCGCCTACAGGGGAGTTGTTCTTACCTACATTTTCCTTCAAAGTTTTTAATGCTAAATATGAAAATTTAAATTGCCATGCATTTGGCTCAGATTACAAGGTAGGTAGTTTTTATGCCTAGTGTCTATATACGGGTGAGTATATATAAAATGTGTGTATACATATATTAGAGAGAGAGAGAGAGAGAGAGAGAGAGAGAGGCAGGCAGAATGCTGATGACTACACTAGCATTCATAGAGAGTTAAGCAGTGATGGCATTTTGATTGCAATTTGTGCCAAGTACTTCAGACCTTTGTTTTACAGTTCTTTATATGAGGCCTGAAATATTTTGAGACATTAGTTTGATGCTATTACATTAGAAATATTGGGCCAAATTCATCCCTTCTATAATTCCACTGAAGTCAATAGAGTTAGTCAGGGATGAATGTGGGCCGAAATTGTTTGGTCATTGGATAACATCTTAAAAATATATAATACTGTACTTTCATTTTTTACTTTTGGAGGAACACACTCTGGTCTAATCAAGCTTAGCCAAAGTAGGCATCTTAATATCATGCACTGCCAGAAGCAGGGCTTTGGAACGGAGCCCGGAGCTGGAGCGCGGAGCAGCTCTGGAGCAGTGGAGCTGTAGGTTTTTACCTGGAGCTGGAGCGGAGCCAGAGGGCTCCTGGTATTTTTCTCTTAGATGCCCCTTGGCCTCTGTAACAAAATAAAACTTGCTACTTTCAATAAATCATGTTTAAATGTGACATTACAAAGAAACAAAACTGCAAGGCAGCACAAAGGCCTGTTCAATTATTCAGACAAATAAGAGAATCTATGTAGTGCTTATAGGAGGATCTCCAGTAATTCTGGACTGGAAATATCCCAATGAAATATAGTACTCATGTACCCTCCATCAAATTCTCTTCACTAAATGAATCTGAATATTTTTATCTGAAATCAGATAAAAATACTTAGCTTAACTCATCAGAAATACAGGGGAAAAAAATGGATCAGGCACTACTGAAGGCCTAACAGAGCCAGTCTCTCTCCTTTCACTGGGGGATATAGCCCCCTTGCCTTACAGTTTGTGGCATGTAACTTTTTGGTATCTCATCAACTGTTGCTGTGTTTATCCCCATCGTTTCCAGTCTCAGAATCTGTCCCTCAGTACTGGGGCTGAACGCATCTGCCAAAGCAGATTCAGGTTTATTTTTCTCTGGCCCAGAGCCACACAGCTGTGAACTGTGACCAGAAATCTGTAGTTGTGCAAGTCCAACAAGATCCTCCTCGTTTATTGGAGGAGTAACTTGCTTTGCTCTTTCAAAATATGACCCATCTGTATTGGTTTCATCTTGACTACTATTTTGTTTGAAATACTGCTGCCTTGGAGCTGCACTTTCACCTCCTCCTGGGTTATCTTCTGGTTTCTCTTCTGAATCTAGCAGCGGCTGGGTGGATTCAGACCTTGAAAAGACTTGAACAGAAGGAATTTGGTCTCTGTAGCCATTGAGTACTACAGTTGAATACTGTACAGTGCTTGAAGTGTTTTGTGCAGATTCACTCTCATCACTGTCGGAAACACTTTGCCTAGGAGAAGACATGCATGAGGATCCTCCAATACCACTGCTGTGCCCCTCTGAAGTATTTTTTTCCTTTTTAAGCAAGTTGAAGGGTTTTAGATCCTGCTCTGAAACGGACTTCTTGTCATCTGCTTCTATTTCAACCACGCTTACATCAGTAAAGCTGCCTTCTGGATACATCTGATCTTTAGAACTAAAATTGTGCTGAAAGAAAAGAAGAAAGTTAGGTGTTGCCTACGAGGGAAAAAGAGTCATGGTGTCTCACTTTCTATTCTTTATGCACTTTGAGATTCCAACAGGTTCTGCTCTCTGCTGAATTTGGCAGTTCTTCTGGAGTATTTACCATAAGATGGAAAATGTGGTTTACATTTCCAAGCATCAAAGTCTTAAGTACACAGACTCCCTGGAACCAGAATTTCATGAAGGGTCTACCCAAACCCTTACTCTTCTGTGATACTGAGACTAAATTGAGCACCATGCATTGTATCCTGCAGAAGTATTTCAGATTAAGACCTTACAACAGAAATGCTTTCGCCTCTACATATATATTAAATATCTCATAGCAATTTTCACTGGAGTTTGTCCTGGTTCCTTGATCAGAATTTCCCCTCCTCCACTACTATGCAGCATGCCAGTTTGTTACCGTACCACACACAGATGCGCGTATCTGCTGTACCCCTCTCTCTGTATTTGTATTTCATTATAAATTGCTCTAACAAATTTCCAGTTCTCAACTGCCTAAAAATTCCACTGATTTCCACTTAATTGCTCATGATTTACACATTTGGGGAAGTAAGAGAAGAATTAAGCCCTGAACCTTAAACCTATAAAACTTAAAATTAGCCCCATATTAACAGAATCCAATTTAGGTTGTGAGCTCCTTGTGACCGTATCTGCCTAATGCTGAATACATTGATGATATTAAAATAATCCTGAGATATAGGAGGAACATTTTAACAGGTTAAAAATCCAAGTTCTCTTTCAATATCCATTGAGAGGGTTCCTACTTGTCAGTTTATTCTTAAGATATTTTATGTACTATCATAAAGATTCAATCTTACCTTAGTTGGAGTTTGAGGGGACCACTGAGCAATATTACTTTTGGAAGGATCAGGAACATTAGGCCAGATATGCTTTTTAATTCTACAGGAGGATAAAACAATGGAAAATACATTTCTTGAACCCTCAAAACTTGCAAACATGGTTACAGTTGTGCTTTATATTCTTAATGTACAATTACTGGTCTTTTAAAATATTTGACAGAAGTGTTACAGATACTGATTTTGTCCCATCACATTTGACGTCTGGTGTGCTCATTTGCAAAGTCATACCTAGAACACTTCATGCTCACTGCCACTTCATTTCACTGCAACTTGAGAAGATTGGCTTTATAGCCTAGTTTTGTGACCGTTGGATTTGGGGCTCCCCCACCCACATCAAATAAAATGATCAAAAGAAAAATAGAACAGTAGGGGGTTTGGGAGAGGTCATAAAATAAATCTAATAGCACTTTTGAAGGCACAAAGTGACAGTTAAATCTCACTGGATGAGCATTACCCAATATACTGGAAAAAGTATATATTTTTGGCTCTCTCTCTCTTTTTTACATATATAGACCAGGCTGACAGAGATACTCTGGTGTCATGGTGAGGAGTGCCACAAACGTCTAGACAGACTTTGCAATTAAAAATATAAATAAATAGAAAAAAATATAGAAAAAATGCACACACATTTAAATACAATCCAACTGAAACTGGTGCATGACATTTTTCCTGAGGAAATAGCGACAAGCTCCTTAAACATAACTAGCGATCAAAACCTAGTCATTTGTAAATACCGTCAAATATGAAAACAGTTATATAATACAATGTGATGGATGCTCCTAGCTGTTTAAACCTCTTTGCTAAAGAAAGGGAAGAGAATATGCCCTGAAAAATAAATAGTTTTAGTTAATAGGCATTGCCAGATGGTCCTTCAGCTAAGGCCCATTAAGAGGCAGCCCTAAGAGGGACAAGTAAAGGTAGATTGGTAGAGCCCCATTATGAAAAAATGTAATTTTGTTGGGGATATCTGAAGGGTACTCTTTAGCCAAGTGACCAGGCATAGAGACAGTTTATATTTTTCCCCAGCCAAACGCACCATGCCAGCAGCCATAGGCACCGACTCCGCGGGTGCTCCGGGGCTGGAGCACTCACAGGAAAAAAAATAGTGGGTGCTCAGCACTCACCGGCAGGCCCCACCGATCAGCTCCTCCTTTTTACCCCCAGCGCCTCCCGCCCATCAAGGATCAGCTGATCAGCGGCAGGCAGGAGGTGCTGGGGGGAGAGGGAGGAATGGGGGCAGAAAGAGGTGAAGTGAGTGCGGGGCATGTTTGGGAGAGGGGGCGGAACGCAGCAGAAAGAGGCAGGGTGAGGCCTTGGGGGAAGGCGTGGAGTTGGGGCGGGGGTCGAGCACGTCCCGGGGAACTCAACGTCGGTGTCTCTCCCAGCAGCTACTACTTGGAGCAGAATTTTTGAAAGAGCTATAAGACAGGACTGAAAAAGCTGCAAGGAAGAGAGAGGGAGACATCTTCCAGTGCTGTGGTGCCTTTGCCTCCCCTTCAAAAAAAGCTGGCTTACATTATTTAACTCATTTTATTACACAGACTGTGAAAAATAGATTTTTTTGGTGGGATGTAAAGAATTCCTTAATGGTGTATTAATTATATGAAACTGAGGTGATCAAAAATTTCAGTTTATTCTGAAAATCAAGAACTAGCAAGAATTTCCTATCACATTCAGTTAATAGGCTTGCACAAAATCTTTTTAAAAAGAGCTCTCTGAATTATTGTTACAGCATTGTTATAGCAAAAGTCTCCATATCTCTAAGAGGAACATGGACCCAATTCCTCCCCTCCTCCCAAACCGTTTTAATATGGTGCAGCTTCACTTACTTCAAAGTAGTTTCTCACAGACATAAATCAGTGAGAGATGAGAATCAGGTCCATGATACATAAATTACAGTGAAATATTACTGTCAAGCTCAGATATAGTAAAATGTGATAGAAATACATGCTATATGTACTTACAAGTCCCGTTTGTTAAAGCAGAACAATACTCCCAGAAGGATGGACAACAGGAATGCCAGACACACAGGTACAACTATGGCTTCTATTTCTCCTTTTCCTAAAAATGGAAAAAAAGCAATTTTAGTTTTTTGAAAAAGTGCTCAGCAGAACTTTCCCTGACAATCATTCCAAAAGGAAAAGACAGACTAATACATACAATGCTGCCTTGTCATAAAGCTTACCAGATTATACCCTAATAGAATTGAACTGAAATATGATTATTTTGTTATCTTTAAAGTCTCAGTGAGTCTTTTTATAGCCAACATTCTTAGCTAAGTTTGCTTATTATTATTGCATACATTACAAGAACTATGAACTTACATGAGTAGGGGTAACAAAAAGAAATCCCACTTTTAGCACCTACTCATTAGAGGAACATAGAGCAATATAGCAGTGAAGAGAGACTGTGATATTTGGGGAGAATCTTCAATTGAAGTTTAGAAGAGTTCACAACATATTTAAGGCCTTGTCTACACATACATGAGAGTGCATTAAATCAGCCCCGGGCACCCTAGCTCCTGAGGTGTCCACACTGGCAAGGCATGTAGAGCGCCCTGACGCTGCTGCTGGAGCGCCCCTGGTAATCCACCTCCACGAGAAGCATAAAGCTTGTTGCACCATGGCTGCAGCGCTGTGGCACCAGTGTGGACGCCCTGGTCCATTAATGTGCTCTGATCGGCCTCCAGTAGTGTCTCAAAATGCCTGTTCTAGCCACTCTGGTCATCACTTCGAACTCTACTGCCCTGTCCTCAGGTGACCAACTGTCAGATCCACCCTTTAAATTCTCTGGGAATTTTGAAATTCCCCTTCCTGTTTGCTCAGCAAGGCACGGAGTGCTCTCAGCGCATCGTTTCAGGTGACCATGCCTCCACGCCCCAGGCGATCCCCAGTATGGAACAATGGCGAGGTGCTGGACCTCATCAGTGTTTGGGCGGAGGAAGTGGTCCAGTCCCAGCTGCGCTCCAGCTGTAGGATAACTCGATGTGAGAGAGCCTACGGGCAGATATCAAGGGCCATGATGGAAAGGGGCCATGACCGGGACGCAGTGCAGTGCAGGGTTAAAGTGAAGGAACTGCGGAATGCCTACCACAAAGCGTGGGAGGCAAACCACTGCTCCAGTGCTGCCCCCACAACCTGCCATTTCTACAAAGAGCTGGACGCGATACTTGGGGGCGACCCCACCTCCACTCCAAAGCCCACAATGGACACTTCAGAGACCGTAGTAGCAAAGTTCAACAACGAGGAGGAAAATGGGAGCGAGGGTGCTGAGGAGGAGGGAGACCCAGAGCCAGAGGATGGCCCGGCATCCCTAGATGCATGCAGCCAGGAGCTGTTTTCAAGCCAGGAGGAAGGTAGCCAGTCGCAGTGGACGGTGGTTGGGGAAGAACAAACAGCAGAGGTGGTGGTGCCCAGTAAGTGGCTTTTATTTTGGGAAGGTAGTTGCTTGGTGCGGGCTCTTGGGGCAGGAGGGTTGCAGAAAGAAGGGTTAGGGCTGCGTGCATGCCTAGATGTGGAGTAGGGCGTTGATGTGCTCTCTCATCGCAGTTATTGGCCTCAGTGATCTCTTCAAATGTTTCATGCAGAAAATGGGCAATCCGATTGCGTGGGTTCCCTGGCAGAGTTACTGTGTTCCTTCTCCCAGTAAGCCTAACATGTCCACGCCATTGTGCCATGAGGGGTGGAGGGACCATTGCTGCACACAGGCAAGAGGCATAAGGGCCAGGGTAGTATGTTACCCTCAGCAGCGAGATATCTTCCGGGATGAACTCATCCTGTGCAAAGTGTGGGGACAGTATAGGGGCCCCCTGCAGCTGTTGGCTCTCTCCAAGGCACAGAATCAACGCCAGAGGCGGTATTGCCCTGAAACAATCAGTCCCCCTTGCTCCTGTCCTTACTCACCATTTTGGGTGGGTTATGTGCGTTTGTTTTGGGACTGGCACTTTCTGATAGTGTACACTGTACTTGTCTAAGTACAGCTGAATCATTGCTCTGTCTAGTGTGAACAATGCTGCCTCTGTTAAGTGTTGCATTTTGGCTTTACAGATGCAACCCTGAGATCCCAGTTGTCCTTGTTATCAACAGCCAAAAGACTACAAAGAATCAGGAAGCGTATGCGAAGAACCAAAGAGAACCTGCTGCATGAAGTCATGCAGCAGTGCCTTACTGAAAATCTAAAAGTACAGGAGTGGCGGGAGACTGAAAGGAGACTCTGCCGGCAAAATGCAGATTGCCAGCACCAAAGCACAGAGTGGCTCATAAGCATTATGGAATGCCAAGTGGACTTGATACAGGCGCTCATAGCACTGCAGATGAAGCAGATCCGTGCCTGCCTCCCCCGCAGCCTTTGTCCCAAAACTCTTTCCCTTGTACCCCCAGGTCACTGCCAACCCACTTCCCCCAGCATCCGGTTTCTTACCGCCACCAGCTGCCTCCAACACCTTTAGCGTCACCACCCAGCCCTGCAAACTACAACCCTTACCCACTGCACTCAATCACCATGCATTTTAGCCAGCCTGAAGCGCAGCACTCATTGCGCAGCACTCCAGACAGGAAGGCTGAATATGATAATAGGACTATGTAAATCTGTGACTGTCCCATTCCACACCCTGCCCCCTTCCCTCCTCACACACAGCACAGATGTGTCATGCCCTTTCTGTTTCCCCAGCAGTTGTCTCTCTTTTCAATAAATGAATTTTTTGGCTTTGAAAACATTCTTTATTGCATTAAGTAAAAGATACCATAGCCCAGGAAAGTAACAGGCACTGCAAGTCAGTGCATCATACGTAGGATGCGATTAATGGCCCTGCAAACTTGCATCAACATGATTCCAACAGTCGACTTTCCCACTCAAAACTGGTTAGCGACCTATCGGTAGCTGTCTGGAGTTGCCAGCTTCCAGATTGCAATAGCCACCTGCTTCTCCACAGGCAGGGCAACTCTCAATCTTGTGTCCTTGTGCTGCAGGGTGGGGGTGAGCTCAGTACACAGTCCCATGAAAGTGGCTTTCCTCATCCGAAAGTTCTGCAGCCAGACTTGCATGACGATGTGATCCCACCACGCAGTGCTTGTTTCCCGAGCCAAAAAGTGGCGTTCCACTGTGGTGAGCATGTCTGTGAATGCCACAAGTAATCTCGTGTCGTCTGCGTTATGCGAGTCAACATCATCGTCGGACTTCTCACTGTCACTTTGTAGCTTAAGGAGTAACTTGATTGCAATTCGTGACATGCTGGCAAGACCCATCAGCATATTCCTCACAACTTCAGGATCCATTCCAAGACCAAAAGGGAAGACAGAGTGCGCAGTACAAAAACACTGAAAGATGATGCCAAATGTGGACGGAAGCACGGACTGATGGGATACGAAGCGATGCATCATGGGACATTGGGACAGGATCCAGAATGCCCCACACCCCCCTGCCCCCTTCCCAAAAGGCACAGTGCCAGAATGGGAAGAGGTGCTCTGTGGGATAGCTGCCCATAATGCACCGCTCCCAATGCCGCTGCATGTGCCACAAATGTGGCCACGCCACTGCGCTTGCAGCTGACCGTGTGAACACACGGCAGCACTTTCTCTGCTGCGGTCTCCGAGGGCTGGTTTAACTCACAGCGCTCTACATCTGCAAGTGTAGCCATGCCCTAAAGCACCTAAGAAAGCAGTACTTGACTTTTAAGTCACAGATCCAACCATCTGCCAGCAATATAAAAAGTATGCTATACCTACAAAACTGCACATAGCTAGTCTATGAAAAAATACTTGCATTACTATTACGTGATCCTCTCCCCTTCTCAGCATTTGTTACATATTTTAAGTTACGAACACAGAACATTTACTATATGTCTGTAGAACTTATTGCACAAAGAAGCTGTATTGGTTTGGGGCCTTAGGTATTACTAGAAGAAAAAAATAAATTGTGTGCATAAATTAAGAGAGCAACTGCATGACTAATCCATTTTAAAATTAGTCCTTATACATTTTATGTGATTATTTCTTACCAAACTTTTGTGTAGTAAATGTAAATACAGGACCACTTGTGCCTCCTTCATCTGTATGTGCCTCCATCTTCACCATATATAAAGTGTCACTGGATAAGGAGGAGAGGGTATATTCTGTTTTTGAAGGGTCCACTTTCACAGCTAGAAGAGAAAGGTTTATACAGTTATCTGGTACAGCCTGTTTAATATCCACAAACATTATACTAAAACACTACTACATATATACGTATGGGAACAAAGTATCTAAGACATAATTTAATGGGAAGTTACACACTTCCATAGCATTGAAAATGGACTCAAAGGCTAGATTTTGTAAGACAAAAATTTCTATATCTAAATGCTTAACTCCAATCATTAAACCTTATCTTCCTTAAAGGCACTGAAAAGAAATTAAAATATATATCAAGTAAGGCTAAGATCTTTGTCACAGTGATTTTTAGTAAAAGTCATGGACAGGTCACGGGCAATAAACAAAAATTCACGGAGCCTGTGATCTGTCCATGACTTTACTAAAAATAACTGGGCGCAGGGCTAAGTAGGGGGAAGGAATGGAGTCTCATGGGGGGGATGGGACTGACAGCCAAGCTCCTCATCATGGTCGGGGGCACAGCCCCAGATACAGCGGCCGTAGCGTGGGGAGGAGGGGGGGGCAGCAGCCAGGGGACGCAGCCACGGGGAGTGTACAGCCCCCTCTCCGGAGCTGGCCGCAGCTGCTGGACGGAGGCACAAAGGCCGGCTGCAGCCCTTCACCCACCACCCCCAAACCGCAGGGCAGGGGCTGCAGGGTCCTGGTTCCAGCCATCCAGCCCCAGTTGCAGGGCAGGGGTGCACAGTCCCGGATTCAGCTGCTGACAGCTGAAGCAGAAGTAGTTGCGGAATCCGTGACTGCCATGACCCACGTGACTAAATCATAGCCTTAATAATAAGTAGCTATAAAAGAGATCACGAGACAGAATTTTAGAGGTTCGTAGTGATGTTGTGAATAACAAGTCTTCTAATTACCTATATGCCAGAAGGTTCAATAGACATTTAGACAAGTGTAGGTCTATAGTGACTGACCGCTTTCCATTTAATAGATTTTAAGGCCATCAGATCATCTAGTGGGACCTCCTGCTTAACACATGCCACCGAATTTTACCTAGCAATTTCTGTATGATGCCCAATAATTTGAGATTGAACAAGAGCATTTCTTTTAGAAATACATGCAGTTACCATTTAAAGACTTCAAGGCAATGGAGAAATCACTATTGTTCCAAGGGTTACTTACCCTTACTGTTAAGTGTGCACCTTATTTTCACTTTGAATGTTTAGTTTCATCTTGTTATACCTTTGTCGGCTGGATAAAATAGTACCAAAGGTCTTCTCCACACGTAGACAATAAAGACTAGGATCAAGTCAAACTTCTTTGATAAACTAAATAAGTTGAGCTCCTTAAGTCTCATTGTGTGAGATGTTCTGAACCAGACACTCGGTACTCTTAGAAGGGACACTTCTAGTCTCGAATGTAACTAAGCTACAGGGGATCCAATGCAGAACCAAGTATACTTTCTTTCTGTAAAAGATTTCTCACTTAAAAAAAAATCCCCAACATCATAAGAACTTACAGTTTGATCTGGTGAGACAGCTCCTAGGTGCATACAATGCTCTATCTTGCTTTGTGCAGTAGTCAGTAACTCAATATTTCAGAAAGTAAATATTCAAAGAAATACATTTTAAAACTAAATGGCCTTTGTTACCTGTTTCATTGCCACTGATAGTTCTGTATAATATAGTGTAATATTTGATAAACCCATTTTGCTCATCCACTGAAAGAGGTTTCCATACTAAAACGGCTTCAGCTTTTCCTACTTTTTTTGTCTGAACAGTGGGTCCTCTTGCAGGCCCTATAAAAGAAGACCACAATTAAGAGTACATTATAGTCCTATTAGGAAAAGCAGTATGTTAATGGACAACATATTTTAACTCTACATAAAACCATGCTCAAACGTTTTAGTGGAATAATAGCTTGAAGCTGTTATCTGCAAAGTCAGTGATTTCACTTCCTGAAAATACAAAAATATTTGTACAGCAAATGCCTCTAAAAAATCTGACTTCTACATGAAAAATAAAACATATTTTGAACAATTAGGATATGAGTAATACCTTAACATAATTCTTATAAAAAGCAAGTAAGGGATTACTTGGAAAATATAAAACACAAACAAAGCAGTGGATCTAGACAAAGTGGATTGGAATAGAAACTTTGTTCAACTGACGAACTCTAGAAGATCAGGGAAGAACAAGATGTTTGATAGACGCAAGCATAGTACTAATCTTAAAACAAAATTAAAGAGGAAAGATCTTGGCAATAGCAGCAAAACAAATTTAACTTCTATCCTTTGCAAAATAACACTCTAAAAATGGGGGGAGGAGGGGAGGAGAAACAGGAAAGAGAAATTGGTCACTTAACTTCTGAGACAATTGAAACACAAGTAGATCTTGCCAAAGAAACTTAGTACCTTTTTTGTTATGGAATGGGTGAAAGGAAAATGGTTGATATTTGTACTTTAGTAATAAAACATTTGTTGATAATGTCTCATGAAGTCTTACACTCAATTCAAATAAGCATGGATAAAGTACAATGTCTTCTGTTTAACCACACTTCAGACAAATCTGAGTTCATCTGATGCATGGATGTGTGTTTCCAGTGAAGTATCAAAAGGATCTGCTAGGGGAGATTTTATTTATCACCTTTAAAGATCTAGGAGGTGGTAAATGCGTTAATGAAATTTGAAGACTATTGCTATTAGTTGCAAGTAAAGAGAAATGGTGAAAGAGACCAAAAGGATCTAGAGATTAGAATAGAAACATGGGTAGAAAGCATTCACCTTGGACAAGTGCAAACTAATATCTGTAAAAGAGTGATTGAAAGATCCAAACATATTTAAAGGGAGAGAAAAATATGGGAAGCGGATAGGTTTAGGACCAATAATAGACAAGTTTGGACATGAATTTACCACTGATGTGCCAACGAAGATGATCAATGCAATTCTGAGTTGCATATGCAAAGGTATGTCATGCAGCAAGCACGTGAAAGTCCTCCTCTATACAGCTCTAGTGTGACTGCCCTGGGAATACTGCTTTTTGGTCTGGACATCTTATTACTTATAAATTGAAGGGAGCTCAGATTCAGAGCACCGTAAATGATTAGGAACCTGGAGAGAATGATGTATAATGAATGGAATAATGTAACTTGCCTAAGGAATAACTATATGGGAGTGGAAATGCTGAGGAAAACCTTTTAGGGCAATGTGTGGGTATTACAAGAAACACTGAAATGAGGGAAGGGAAAATGTAGGCTGAATATCAGGAAATATCTCCTGATATTAACAGAAAAGCTTCAAAAACAGACTCCAACGAGAAACTGCTGAGCTTGAATTGATATGCAAACTAGACACAATCAACTTAGGCTTGAAGAGAGACTGGGAAGAGAGCCATTACAAACATTGAATCTATCTCCCCATGTAAGTATTCTCACACTTCTTATCAAACTGTCTGTACTGGGCTATCTTGATTATCACTTCAAAAGTTTTTTTCTCTTATTAATTGGCCTCTGAGAGTTGGTAAGATAACTCCCACCTTTTCATGCTCTCTGTAGGTGTATATATATCTCCTCAATATATGTTCCATTCTATACATCTGAAGAAGTGGGCTGTAGCCCACGAAAGCTTATGCTCAAATAAATTTGTTAGTCTCTAAGGTGCCACAAGTACTCCCGTTCTTTTTAATATAAGAAGTGTACAATATAGGGAACTCCTGCATGTGCATGGAGATAGTTGACATGACCTAGTAGGTCTCTCTCCCACTTCTGTGACTATATTATGTTAGTGAGAAAGGTCAATTGAAATAAGATGTGTATTTTGTACTTACTTCTTTGCTGAAGATATGCCTTTGTAGATTGTCCATTTCCTTGACCATTATTATACAATGGATGAACAGTTATCAAATAACACTTGAATGGCTTTATATCTCCTAATACAAGAATTGTAAGGAAAACATTGTTTTAGTAAAGAGTTCAGTTAAAATGAAATATTTAGTTTTTCCTTCAGTTTTGGTAAACAGTTTATCAGTGTACCTTACACCTAGAAATTCAGTTGAATTTCTTTTTCTAAAGTCAGAGTCATAGACTTTAAGGTCAAAAGGGACCATTTTGATAGTCTGACCTCCTGCACAATGTGGGAAACAGAATCTCACCCACCCACTCCCACAACAAACCCTTAACCTATGTCTGAGCCACTGAAGTCCTCAAATCATGGTTTAAAGTCTTCAAGATGCAGAGAATCCTCCAGCAAGTGACCCGTGTCCCACGCTGCAGAGGAAAGTGAAAAACCCCCAGGGCCTCTGCCAATCTGCTCTGGAGGAAAATTCCTTCCCAACCCCAAATATGGTGATCAGCTAAACCCTGAGCATGTGGGCAAGACTCACCAGCCAGACACACAGGAAAGAATTATCTGTAGTAACTCAGATCCCACCCCATCTAACATCCCATCCCAGGCCATTGGGCATATTTACCGCTAATAGTCAAAGATCAATTAATTGCCAAAATTAGGCTATCCCATCATACCATCCCCTCCATAAACTTATCAAACTTAGTCTTGAAGCCAGATATATCTTTTTAAAGTATTACCAATCAATCATTCAAAAGAGACTAGTTAGAGGATCAGTTAGATAGCTCAGGTCCAAAATTTTAAAGTTATTGAAACAAAATGTGTTTCAATGAATTTATAAAAAGAAGCAGAAGCTATTTCCCTACAACTGTTGTGTACAGGACTGTGCCACTGTACAAGGATTGTGCTACTCCTGAGAACCTGGAGGTGAAACAGGACGCCAAGTCTAGTTTTACTGTCCAAGCCAACTGAATTGCCAGAGTAAAACAATGAGAACAGACAGTGGACAGGTAAGTTAGATTTTAAAGTTCTTTCATTATTCATACCAGATAATATAACATGGTTTTGTTGTGAAGTCTTAATCTGATGGTGTGCCTTTCAAAGCTACAGTTCCCTTCTTGAACTGTTTCAAACCCTAGGATTTATACACAGTTTTATTCTGAGTTGCCAGTACACAAGACAATACCAAACTTTCATATTATCATGTGGCAATTTTTAACTTATTAAAAAAAATTAGGTTTTTCAGCAGTTTTAACTGCCTGTGAAAGATCCACCTGGCACTAATGTCCTGCAGCAGAGACTCACTAAGCATTAGCCACCAGCGGCAGCATGCTGTTCACAATTCAGCACAACATTTTCTATTTCTTATTGTTTATCTCTCTGTTTTATAAGAGTATGCATTTCTTCCAGATCCTCTTTATTCATAAAGTGAGTCTGTTGTAAGAGAGCCATTGAATACATCCAAAATGTATGAAGGATGAAAGGTTTTGACTATCCTAGAAACCTTATTGAGATGCAAGGTCTTGATTATTGTTAAGTTCAATAATAGGTACAATATATTTAAATATGATATTGCTTGCTAAATATACCTTTTAAAAATGTGCCTTGAGAAGTACCAAGTTCCTGCTGCCATTCTGCGGTGCAGTTCGAGCTGTCGGACACCATGCACCATTCAATCACATATTTAACCACGCTATTGTCAGGAGCCGTCCACTCTACCCAGAGCTTGCCATCTTTAGGAAATGCTTTAATATCTTTCACAGAAGCTAGAATGAGAAAAAAGGAATGAGATTCCATTAATATAGAACATCTTCATTAGATAGCTCTCTCCTAGCACGAAGGAACCTGCACTTGCTACTCTGTGGAATCAGTTACTCTTGCTCTTAAGTAAATTAAACCATCAAAATCTCAACATGAGTAAAGTTTAGTGGGCATAGAAAGCCATTTTGATGCAATTCTGTAACCTGTGAACAGTGAACAGTGAGAGGGAGAGAGGGAAATCCCCTGCTGAAGAAGGAGCAAGCACTAACTCTTGGGGGTGAGTGAGCTTGTTTGTCTATTTGGTTTTTCTTTCGACTTGCTTAAAGCTTACAGTGTAGTCTGTTGGGGATTTTGTATTTGGGGACTATGTGGGAGTAGGAGCAAGAGCCCTACTAAGCTGCTAGCTGATTATTCACTAGTAAGGCTCTAGCCTACTGTCCTTTGAGCCTTGATTCTTCCTGATCATCCTTCTCTTGTGTGTTAATGAGAGGGGTAGGGTTGACCTAGGAGAGATGTGCTTAAAAGCCAGATGCTAAGTGACCAAGGGGAGCTAGTGAACAGGAGGGTGCAGACAGGGGAGTTTGAGAGGAAGAAAGAATAAAATCACCATGGTTTGAAAAAGTCCACATTGCTAAGACCACTATATTGCTCCTGGCTTCTCCACCCACACCTCTGTCCAGACAGAGAATCCAACAATGGATTCCTCTACCCAGGTCCTAGAGTGGATTTGCAGAGACTGTGGCTTGCATTTTCCTGGTCTCCTCACAGGCTGAGACCATCCAGTGTGAGACATGCCTACTGGTAGACTCTCTTAGGAGGCAGATAGGAGAGCTACAGGAAATAGTGGCTAGGTTGAGGAGCATCTGTGCACATGAGGAATTCATTGAAAATATGCATATGGAGACCTCCAAAGTTGAGAAACCAATTCAGATGGAGAGGACTGCAGAAGCACCACCAAGGGAGGAGGAAACAGGAAAGAACCTGGCTACTTCTAGCAGCAGGAAGCGCTCCCCACCCCTCTCCCAGCCCACTATCCACAGAGTGAAAAACTGGTATGCTGCCCTGGCAACAAAGTCTCCCCCAAAGGTGAAGGAGGAGAAGCTATGTACCAACAAGGCTGGAAGGGTGGTGGTGGTGTATGATTTCCTTTCTAAGGGGGATAGAGGCGTTCATCAGCGGTCTGACCTGGCATCCCAGGAGGTGTTCTGTCAGGGGCCCATATCTGAAACATTACAGAAGGATTGCAGAGGATCATGTGGCCCTCTATTACTCTGTGCTGCTCATCCAAGTGGGCATTAATGAGACTGTGAGGTATGATCCTGAGCAGATCAGAAATGACTACAGGGCTTTGGGAGTGAGGGTGAGGGAGGAGGAGGGAGGTGGTGTTCTCATTGATCCTTCCAGCCAAAGGTAGGGTCCCAGGCAAAGACATTCTGGAGTTGAATGCATGGCTGCGTGGATGGCGTTGCCAAGAGGGCTTCAGCTTCGTTGGCCATGGGATGCTGTTCTGAGAAGGACTGCTGAGCAGAAATGGGGGTCCACCTGCCAAGGAAAGGGAAGAGTATCTTCGTATACAGACTGGCTAACCTAATAAGGCGGGCTTTAATCTAGGTTTTACGGGGGCAGGAGACAAAAGCCAACAGGTAAGTCCAGAACATGGACACTTGGGGGAAGGGAGAGACAAGAGGGAAAATAGGAAATCTAATTAACATCTTAGACGTCTGTATACTAATGCAAGAAGTATGCGGAATCAGCAGGAAGAACTAGAAATACTAGTGAATAATCACAATGATGACATAAGTGGCACCACAGAGACTTGGTGGGTCAATTTACATGACTGGAATATTGGTATAAAAGGGTATAGCTTGTTCAGGAAGGACAGGCAGGTGGTGTTGCCTTGTATATCAAAGATGTACACACTTGCACTAAGATTGAGATAGAAGTGGGAGGCAGACCTGTTGAAAGTCTCCACCTAAGGATAAAAGGGGTAAAACACAAGGGTGATGTCATAGTAGTGGTCTACTATAGACCACTTAACCAGGAAGAAGAAGTGGTTTTTAAACTAACAAAACCATCCAAAGCACAGGACTTGGTGGTGATGGGGGACTTCAACTACCCAGACATCTGTGGGGAAAATAATATAGTAGGGCACAGATTATCAACAAGTTCTTGGAATACACTGGAGACAACTTTTTATTACAGAAGGTGGAGAAAGCAACTAGAGGAGAGACTGTTCTAGATTTGATTCTGATAAATAGGGAGGAACTGTTTGAGAATTTGAAGACAGAAGGCGACTTGAGTGAAATTATCACGAAATGAAAGAATTCATTATTTTAAGGAATGATAGGAGGGAAAACAGCAGAAATAAAGATAATGGGACTTCAAGAAAGCAGACTTTAGCAGAACTCAGAACTGAGAGATAAGATCTTGTGGGAAGCAAGTCTAAGGGAGGAAAAAACGTTCAGGAGAGTGGACAGTTTTTTAGAGAGACTTTATTAAGGGCACAAGAGCAAGCTATCCTGATGCTTAGGAAAGTGAGGAAGTATGGTAAGAGACCACCCTGGTTTAACCAGGATATCTTCAATGACCTGAAACTCAAAAAAGATGTACAAAAAGTGGAAACTAGGTCAAATTACAAAGGATGACTATATTTTAAACCTCCCCCACAAACACAAGCACGTAGGAACAGAATTAGAAAGGCCAAGGCAAAAAAAATGAGATTAAACTAGCTAGGGACAAAAACAGTAACAAGAAAACATTTTACAAATACATTAGAAGCAGGAGGAAGATACAGGGCACTAGGTCCATTACTCAATGAGGAGGACAAGACAACAACAGAAAATGCAGCAGTGGTCAAAGTGTTGCATGCCTTTTTTGCTTCAGTTTTCACCAAAATAGGTCAGAAGTGATCAGATGACTAACACAGGGAACATCAGAGTAAATAGGGTAGGATCAGAGGCTTAAAAAACAGGGAAAGAATAAGTTAAGAATTACTTAGACCAGTTACATGTCCAAGTTGGCAGGCACGGTTTAAATACGTCTTAGAATTCTTAAGGAACTGGCTGAAGAGATGTCTGAGCTACTAGTGATTATCTTTGACAGCTCGTGGAATGGAGAGATCCCAAAAGGACTGGAAAGGGCAAATACAGTACCTATCTATAAAAAGGGGAATAAGGACAACCCAGGAAATTATGGACCTATCTGCTTAACTTTAGTACCCAGAAAATAATGGAGCAAATAATCGAACAATTTGTAAGCACCTAGAAGATAATAAAATGATAAGTAACAGTCAATATGGATTGGTCAAGAACAAATTGTGTCAAATCAACCAAATAACTTTCTTTGACAGGGTAACAAGCCTTGTGGATAGGGGGAAGCAATAGATGTGATATATCTTAACTATGGGTAAGGCTTTTGATACCCCCTCACAAGACCTTCTCATGAGCAAACTAGGGAAATATAGCCTAGATGAACCTACTATAAGGTGATTGCAAAATGGTTCACAGTCAAGCTGGAAGGGCATATCAAATGGGGCCCCACACGGATCTGTCCTAGGTCTAGTTCTGTTCAATATCTTCATAGATGATTTGGATAATGGCATAGAGAGTACAGTTATAAAGATAGGAGGGGTAATAAGAGCTCTGGAGGACAAGATTAGAATTCAAAATGATCTTGAAAACTGGAGAAATGGTCTAAATAAGTAAGATGAAATTCAATAAGGACAAAGGCAAAGTACTACATTTAGGAAGGCATAATCAATTGTACAGATGGGAAATCACTGCATATGGAATCAGTACTGCAGAAAAGGATCTGAGCGTTATAGTGGATCACAAACTAAATATCAGTCAACACTGTTGCATTAAAAGTGATCATCATTCTGGGATGTATTAGCAGGAGTATTGTAAGCAAGACTTGAGAAGTAGTTCTTCTACTCAGCTCAGCACAGATACAACCTCAACTGGAGTACCGTAAAAAGCAACAGAGATTTCAACAGCTTCCACCCCACCATCAACCTCAGCCTGGACCAATCTACACGGGAGGTCCACTTCCTAGACACCACAGTACAAATAAGTGATGACCATGTTAACACCACCCTATATCGAAAA